TTACTTTATTACTACTACACACACACACACACACACACACACACACACACACACCCCTCCTCTCTGCTCACGTTGGACAGGACGAATCCTGCATTTGAATCGCTTTCCCTACTGCTGTGAGTCTCTAACAATGAGTGCGCGAAAGCCCAGTGCAGCTGCCAACAAAACACTAAAGCAGCGGTGCGGCCGGCAAGAACTCAACACACATCACAGCAAGAGGCTTTGAGCAAATCAGTGACAAAATCCCCCCTGCCTCGTAGTTTAGGAACAAGAGGGTGGCAGGGGGAGGTTGACCAAACATGCTCCTCTGTAGGTAGGTGTGGAGTATAATGGGGATCACGCTGCAGGGCCAATAAACAAATGGGGGGGAGGGATAGCTCAGTGGTTTGAGCATTAGCCTGCTAACCCCAGGGTTGTGAGTTCAATCCTTGAGGGGGCCACTTAGGGATCTGGGGCAAAAATCAGTACTTGGTCCTGCTAGTGAAGGCAGGGGGCTGGACTCAATGACCTTTCAGGGTCCCTTCCAGTTCTAGGAGAAAGGATATCTCCATATATTATTATTATATTATAAAGGGCTGTGGTGCCAATCCTGGAAGATGATGGAATTTAGGAGAATTAGTCTTCCAAAAAAAGGGAGATCTAGGTGGCCCCTCGGGTGACTGTAGGGTGACCAGATAGCAAGTGTGAAAAATCGGGACGGGGGTGGGGGGTAATAAGAGCCTATATAAGAAAAAGACCCAAAAATCGGGACTGTCCCTATAAAATCGGGACATCTGGTCACCCTAAGTGACTGACAGCTGCAGATTGCATCCTTGGATAGCCGTGGGATAGGGGACTGAAAGGGGGGTGTTGCAAGACTTTCCATTATAGCACGGAAAGTTAAATCCCTTGCACTGCAACTCAAGAAGCATCTCTTGGGGAGGGGTGGATATTGAGACTCTTCCGGAGCATCAGAGATCCTCCTTCTCTCCCCATCTTGCGATGACTGTATTTCCAGCTGGGGAGCATGGGATAGGACTCTGTCTAGATCCTGTCCATGATGCTCCTACATTTGCAAGCAGGGTAGCTGCAGAGCAGGGGGTGCACCCAATAGGGTGAGGTGCATCCAACCCCTGCCAGCCTGTGATCCACCTAGTATAATGGAACCTACTGGCATGATGCCTCCCATTGCCCTGCAACCCCCTCAAAGACAAGGTTTCAGAACACTGATGAGAAACGGGATTTTGAACAGAACGCGGGTCGGAGCCATCGTTGCAAGGCAAGGCTGTGCTGTGAGATTACGTGGATTTGCAGTAACGTTCAGGGATAGAGATTAGACTGATAGCCAACAGTCCAGTGCAGCAGGCTCTGTGGGGAGACAGAGTGTGGGGCCAGGGCTGGGGCGGCTTGTCTTCTCCACCACAGGGGAAGTGGCAGGGACAGGAGATTTCCCCATGGCAGCCCCCACTTCACCACTGGTCTGAGCTATGCAGCATCTTCCAGGATCTGAACCAAGGGGCAGGTGGCTGCTCCAGCATCAGGAGGGTCCGTAGGGCCCTTCCTTTCACAGAGAGGGGCACACTCAGAGAGAGGAACAAGCCCTGGAATGTCTTAGGTCACAGGCCTGAGCACCCTCAACTTCCATTGAGTTGAGAGATCCCAAGATGGCACCCAGCTGTCTGCAGCCCTGAGAGGTTCACCATCGCTGTGCAGCCCTTTCAAACCTGGAGTCCTTTCTTGCTGTGCGTGACTTCGTTCCTCAGCATCACAGCCTCCGCTCGCTTAAACTAGGACTTTGCCTCAACACCGCAACAGGAGGCAGCCTGTACTGGGTGACTGCTCTACCCATACTCTAGAGATGAGAAATCAATGCGAGCCTCCGTCCCCCGAGATTAACATGCAGGAGAAGCTCTAGAGGTTTGGTCCAGGGCAGCACAAAAAGCCTGGATGCTTCTTGGCACCCCACTGGCTTAGAGACGGGACTGGCAGTTTAACCTGGGCCGGATTTCTTGGATGCTTTCCAGCATTCCCCGGTTCCACTGGATTCTGCAAGAACAGCCGCTCTCGGGCTGTTACGACAATTCCACTTCTGGCCCCGGCTAAAAGCAGGAAGCGCCTGAGTTGGGTGGGGAGTCAGTTTATAAAAGATTCTCCAAAGTTTTGCCAACCCTGGAAAACTTCAGTTCAGGCACCGGGCACCGTTTCACCCATCCCTGCTCTCGACCCCGTGCCAATGCGTCGCTGGGGGCTAGCATCTGAGAGATGGGGGGTGGGGAACTGCATTGGTTATACATTGCAGTGGAGCTGACAGTCAGGGAACTAGATCTATACCAGACGTCCGTAGTGAGTGGGTTTAATGTAATCAAAACAAGCAGACAGGAATTGGAACGGAAGCCTTCTGATCGCGTTATGGTAAGTCTACCCCTGGCTGCAGCAGTCCGGCAGCTCCCGTGACTTTCCACGCCTGTATGTAGAAAGAAGCGAGCTCTTGTTCACGTGAACCTACTCGGGAGAGCACATCTCACTGCCTTCTAAGACCATGCATTGCCTTGGAGAAGACAGAAAAGTCCCAATTCCTTCGCTCCTTGCAACATAACAGCGATTTTGAAAAACAAACAACAAAGACAACCACTGGGAGGTTGGGTCCCTGTCTTCTTTCTAGTGTGTTTGTCGAGCTTTGCTTTCTGGTTGCAGTGACTGTATTGGAAAGGAATTTATTGAAAGACTTCAAAAGGTTTCAGGTTGCAGTTCATTTGGTTTCAACCTCCCTGCACAAACATGCTCAGAGCAGGAAGTTGGCCGGCTCTGAACTATCTCACAAACTCCCCTCGCTCTTTAGACTGTCCAAGCGTCGGCTAACCACAATGCATGCAGCAGGTATAAAGTTAGGAAAATAAACCCTGCCTTTAGCTGGAAATGTCACAGCATCACCCGTGGGTAACCCCTAGGGCGGCTGACGAACCCTGTCGCTGCAATGTTTGGTTTGGTTTCAAGGCAACACAAGATGGCAGCATCCGACAGGAAAGCTGTATATGTTTTGGCCTCAAGCAGTGGTTCAATCTAATTAACCCACCGGCTTCCTAGAATAGCACCCACTTAGCATTCCATGGAAGTGCTGAAGACATGCCAATTGCGTGACTCTTAACCCACCGAAAATCCATTCATGGGCCTCTGGGCTCTTCAAATGTTGGACAAAAGGCTGGATATGGGTCAGAACAAAAGCGGTTAGCGAAGTCCAAAAGGATGTGGAATGACATGGAATGCATTTTCTCTGGGTGAGCAATTTCCTAGGAAGGAGTGTTCTGAATCTCCCACGATTTAACCCAGCTGATTAGAGGAAACATCAGAAACAAAGCCCAGTCATAAAAAGTTTATAGCCGAATGGACGACATTCCTACTCTGGATAGCGGGGCTGGATGCTGCAGAGCGTCTGGCTGGCCAAAGACTATTCCCAACTCAGAGTCCCATCCCACACTGGGATCAAAATCACGCTAGCCACAATTAGGGCTATACCAAGGTCCTAGCACAGTTCCCATGGAGAGGGAATTTCTTCAGCCAAAATATGCTACCGACCACCATCCTTGTCAGGGAAACCATGCTAGGAACTGCTGCAACTGTATGCAATCACATGACCACGGCAGCGTCTCTTACTGTTCCGATCCCAGCACGGATCCCAACGGCTCAGAGCTGAGTCAACCTTTGTGTAGCCACTGGCTCCTCCTCCTGCTTTCGGAGCCTCCCTCCTTACAGGGGGGAATCCGAGGTGTCGGGGCAGCAGCGTCAGGGGTGTCTAGCGCAGAGGGATCCCGGAATGGGCCGGGTGGATGGCAAGAGGAGAGACAGCGGAATGTAAACAGAGGGAGAATGAAAGATGGAGGAAAAAAGAGACTGATGGAGGGAAGGGGGTGGAAGGAGGAATGGGGCGGAGGGCCAGGAAGGGATGTGGCTGCTTCCGAAGGCACCTACCACCACCCTGGGGTTTGAAAAAGACAGACGGGCCCAGCCCATGATGTTCAGAGCGGGAGCTGCCCTTCTCCGAAGCTTGAGGGCGTTTGATCTTGGGGCTGGTTTGGGCCCATCTCAGCCATGCGAGGGAACGGTGCCCGCCCCCAATGTGACCAGCGCTTACACGCATGTGGGCACAAGTTCCTGTCTTGCTAGGGCATGCCATGGCACCCTGCTCCCCCTTGTGGGCCTGGCCCGGTGAACTTGGAACCCTCCTATCTCCCTGCAGGAGACAACTCCCAGACAGCAGCAGGAGGAGGAGCTGAGAACCCGTCTCTGATATCAGCTTGCCTGGTAACCACCCCCTGCCTGGAAACCAGGGTCAGTGGGTATCTGAGAGGCAGTGCCTGTCTAGATGAAACATGTAGCTAATGCCCGCTGACAGCCGGGCTCCACTCCCCTGCGCTGGTTCTGCTCCCGCTCCCTCTCCCCATCAGATGGGGTAGCCAGCTGGAGAGGTACCAGCAGCCACAAACTCCAATCCAGATGACTAAGGGATGGGCCATCCCAACAGCTGGGTTTGTTTTTTTTGCTTGGTATCCGAGGCTTCCAGCACAGGGAACGGTCACAGGTTCCACTCTGCCTCCCTACCCACATCAATCTGAGAAATTCAGCAGCAGAGGGGTGCTGGTCCCAGAAAAGACACCACTCCCTCATCGCCCGGCGAGGGATGCTGAAGGAGTGGCAGGAATGGGCCTATTTGGGTGGGGCAGGCTGGAGCAGAGGAGAATCGATCAGACGGCATGCCAGGGTGAGCAGGGCAAGCACGTCTCCCGTTTCCGCGGGTAAGAAGCCAATCGCCTGCAGGGTGCAGGAATCTTCCCAACCCTAACAATTGTCTTC